CAGCATGACGTCAGCGTCACACATATGTGTAAAACCACTTTAAACTAATTTTTCTCTTAAATTATTTATCCCGATTGCACCATTAAATTCGTTGCAATTAAATCTTTAAAACAAGATCACACATGGATATATTCCGACGAAAAAATAGCTTATTATTGATTTTTTTAAAAAATATTGCACGATGTTCCACCAGGTATATCGGAATTGTTTCATTAAGTAGATCGAAAATGTTTTAGTCGTTAAAATCGGGTGTTGTTTCACCTTATATAAAAACAATGTTTCAGCAAATAGCGAAAGAATGTTTCAGTTCACTGCAACATTAGATCCATACATAGTGAAACACTATAAGTACGCTAGGTGAAACATTTTTTTGTGGAACAAAAAATGAAACGAATTCCCTTAATAGAGGGTTTCTAAAATATGTGGGTGATTTGTTACAATGGAGTATTTCAGTTCTATGCAACACTAGATCTATACATAGTGAAACATTGTGACTGCATTAGATAAAATATTTTTTGTCGAAAAAAAATAAACCAAATTCCCTTAATAGATGGTTTCCAAAATATGTGGGTAATTTGTTGTAATAGAGTTGTGTGTGGACACGTGGCGGGCCAGGGGGAGCGCGTGCGTGCATGGGGGCGGGGGAGCGCCCGATTTCTGCTCCCCGCCCGATCGTCCGACGGGAATCATTTTCCCAATTGGTAACCAAATTGCTAAGAAATAGCTAAAAAACTGATAAGGAAAACAGCTAACAAACTTTATCTAATTTGCAAGCGGATAGAACTGTTGGCGTCCGGCACGGCCGATCAGACACGACGTGCTGCGCTCCCTGCGGCCGCATCCTGCTGAGCCGGCGTGCCTCTGCGACGATATGTTATCCCGACCATGACAATTATTTGGAAACAAATTGAAACATCTAGCTTTTTATTGTCATTTAAAGCAGGTGTAATTTTGTGAAATTTAATCTAATGTTTATTGGACTTTTTGGAGCATCGGTATTCTAAATTATAGCAGATATGAACCAGTTTAGGTAATATGCCTTGCACTTTACGTGTGGCAATATGGAAAAGCCAATGTCCTTGATATCTGACATTTACATCCTTTTTTTGAAGGAAACAAGGGGCAGTTGTGATTGAGAACCTGGACATAGCAAACCTGACTGTTATACAAGATGTCCTTAACAATGGGCAGCAGATTGTGTTACCAGCAGAGTTCAAGTCAAGCCTTAACACTTATCTGTCAGACTTATCCTACTCCCCTGTTCGTTCACTTGCGGAAATAATTGCTTTCAACGATGCACATCCTATTGAGGTCTGCTCTAGTTCATAACCTTTTTTTTCTGTGTGTATTCTTTCGCAGTTCCACAGTTTTACATGCCTTCATATTACGAGAAAAGGTTATATTGTATATTTTTCTTCAAATCTGAAGAAACCATCCGTTATTTGTTATCAGATGATACACAGAATCTAGTACTTGTTGAAGTTGATCCTTTCATCAAAACATACGTAAAACCATTTATATATTCTTTCCATCAGCACAAAAGGTACTGTTAGATTTTGTTAGGAGAAATATTTAAGACGACATATGATTAGAAAATTTTCTGTTCTGAAGAGGCACTATAAAATGTTTCTAAAATGACAAACAAAAAAAAACATAGACTTCAAACATTCTAAAGTGCGTAGCTGATACTCCCTCCGTTTTATATTTATAAATCACTTCGATTTTTTTCTAGTCAAATTTTACTCCCTCCGGGCTGATAATATTAGTCGTTTTAGACAAGGATAAAGTCAAACTTTAAAATCTTTGACTACAAATAATTTTTAAAATATTTATCTTAAAAATATAAAAACCATATGTGTAGATTAGTCTTAAAAAGTACTTCAATAAAATCATATATTTGTTGATATTTCTATATATATTATAATAGAAAATAGTTGTTAAAGTTAATTTTTGGAGACCGTGCCCTTGTCTAAAACGACAAGTATTATCAACCCGGAGGGAGTATTAAGTTTGACCAAATTTATAGACAAATTTAATTAGCAATATTTAAAACACCAAATTAGTTTCATTACATCTAGCATTGAATATATTTTGATAATATATTTGTTTTGGGTTTGTCAAAGTTAAAAAAGTTTGATTAAGAAAAAAGTCAAAAACGACTTAATTATAATATGAGCGGGGCAGTAGTTACTTACTATTCTTGCATACTAAACTTTTTGTGCATCACGGTATATTTATGTTGTTGCAGGTTATGAAGTCAATATTACTTTTATTACTATAGTTGATTGCATTTCATCTTCTTTTTTTCAAGATTATGAATCTTGGTATGTAAACTAACCAGCTTAAAATTTCGAAAATGTTAAAACAGATCGCTAAATCATATTGCCAAATATGTGTGTATAACAGGAGAGACTAAAGGATTTTGGGCAGCTCATCTTCCTGGTAGCTGAGAACACTACTGGCATCGGCGCACTCGAGAGAGCCATAATCCATCAACTAAACAAGCTTTCAGCTGACGGACTGGAGAAGCTAATGAAGGATGAGCAGCTGGATGCAATTATCACGCCCAATGACTCAGTTTCCACCGTTCTCGCCATTGGCGGCATGCCGGCAATCACCGTACCAGCTGGATACGGTAAGAGGGGAGTCCCCTTCGGAATTTGCTTTGGTGGATTGAAGGGCTATGAGCCGAGGCTAATTGAGATGGCTTATGCATTTGAGCAAGCTACCAAGGTCAGAAAAGCCCCTAAGTTCTTGCGTGGAACATTTTAGCAAGATGGCAGACACGTCTTTAACTAGTAAAGCCAATAATTCACTGGGCTGATCGTTTATCCACTGCTGGGGAACCCATCTTTAGTCCCGGTTTATACCTTTTTTCGTATAATCCGGGACTAAATATATCCATTTTTAATACCGGTTGGTAATTAACACCAACCGTTACTAAAGATGCCACGGTAACACCAACCAGTAGTAAAGATGGTAGCATCTGCCATGTGGCATCAGGTGGTACCATCTGTAGTACCGTGGCATCATGGCTTGGTATCAGAAAGGTCCCTAAGTAATTCTTGCATGGAACATTTTAGCAAGATGATAGACATGTTTTTAACTAGTAAAGCAAAATAATTCAGTGAGCTGATCGTTTATCGCAACTACTATTATTGAGCTTGGGAATGCAATTTAAAACATTGGTGAGTGGGCTGGGGAACATTTTAGCAAGATGATAGACATGTTTTTAATTAACTAGTAAATGTACCATCGCCGACCGATCGAGGAGAGGCGGCTACTGCCTTCGTGTCACCTCGAAGAGGACGGCCGCTGCCGTCGCATCCCCGGGGAGAGGCCGGCCGGCTTGACTTAGAGAGGTGACGAGGTGAGGATGCATTGCCGTTGCATAGCCGAAAAGATGGAGGAGATAAGGTTAGAAAGAGACAAAGGCAGAGGTATTTTGGTCTGGGAAAAAAAATTGAGCAAAAGCATTTCTATCAACAAAAAGAACGAAAATGGTATTTTGATGAACGCATCTCAGTTTAGGATGGTATTATAGCGAACCAATTTGAAGCGATGGTATTTCAGCGAAACCATTCTTTTGTGATGGTAATTTCTCGTTCGCGTGGGTGGGTTTGGCTTTGTGTTGGTGGGGGTACCGGGATAGGGTTAGACCGCGCGTGTCGGAATATCAGGAATTCTTTTAGTTATCTCAAAATCATCAAAATATAGGATACGTACGGGATACGTATCGGAGCGTATCCGATAGGTATTCGTATTCATCGCCATATCAGATACGGATACGTTAAATGTGAGACGTATCCAGGTAATATATGTAGGGACTACCAATATCATACACAGGCGAGTGCTCATTCGATCACTACTACTGAAAAACACTTCTGTACAGGTTAGGAACTAACCATATGTGTCATATATCCCAGCCGGCACTCAGCATGCAGCACCCATGACCTAGGTCATCGGTGTCAATTATTCAACACTAACTATAATACATATATATATATGCCGGTTTTAGTAAAAATCGACACCTATATGGAATTATAGGTGCTGGTTCTTAAAGCAATTGTCATGTGGCTGCCTTATGGCACTGGTTCTTTAGAACAACCAGCACCTATATGTACCATATAGTTACCAATTGTTCACCGGCAAGGACACATGGTAAGACTATAGATGTCGGTTTGTAATAAAAACCGACATCAATATGCCGGTTTGTAGCAAACGGTTCAATTCAATAAGCAAGAGTGAAACGGAGTGAGAAATAATGAAAACTATTCTTGTAGAAATCAACATCCAACAACACCAACAAATTAAAAGTAAAACCTTCCCTCCTTTAGCTAGTCCAAAAAATACAAGAGGTGTATACTAAGCTGTTCTTTTCTTGATCAGCTCAAGAGAAACACTACAAGGATTATGTTGATACATGACATTATCCGTTTGTCATAGACGCCCTAAGAAACGTCACAGGTAACTATCCGTGAGAGTCCAGAAATACATCATAGAATCCCCGTCATAAACCTTCTTCATGGAAAAAAACTGTCACGGATGCGCTGGATCGGTGACGACTGTGACCGTCATGGAATAGCTATTCGTTTGGTTTTCAGGCAGCATCAGTGATGAAACGGACCGTCATGGACGTTGTGCCACATCAGCACAGCTATCTCAGCATGGTGAGGTGGAATCTGACATGGCTGCATCTGGCACATCAGCTTGGTGACGTGGCTATAACTGACACGTCAGCTTGGTGACGTGGCTCACCATTCCATGACAGCATTTTTTTTCGAAATTTTTTTTATTAGGGTACCGAAATGTAGGATGGGCTGGGCCGACATAATGGGCTGGGCCGAGATATTTTCTGCGCGGCCCATTTTCGTTTCAAATTGTCCTCCAATTTCTTTTTATATTGGGTAATTAGCCAACTTTATTTTAAATTTGGCTCAGCCCATTTCCTCGGCATATTGGGCCGGCCCAGATAATACCAGCAGCCCAAGAACTCATTCTGGACCAAATACCACCACAGATTCAAATACATCCACAGATTCAAATCTCCAAAATAGTACATCACATCATAGAAGCATCAGCACGGTATGCTTACATGTTTACTGAAATCACTGTATCATACCAAAAGCAAGCACCCTAAACAGGTTCAAGTTCACCATAGAATGAGTCTACTGCACATAATGTGCTCCACCAGAAAAGCATCACTACAGGAGTGTACTTCACAAGTTCAACAAAATGCAGCCATCCAAAGCAACCATACCACACAGCATTAAATTCTTGCCTGACTCGATGGAATCATGGCCATCAAACGCCTAAGTAGAGTATCAGTTTCGGCTTGCCTCTGCTTCATCTCCTCATCATTCTTGGCCCTTTCTTCTTCTGCTGCCTGCATTTTCTTCACCATCTCATCCAGCTGTTGGCGCTGAATGTTCACTAGCTCCCTAAGATCTGCTGATGTCTGCTTCTCCTCCACCAGTGCGGCTTGTAGCTCGCGGCGACTTCCAGCACTGGAATCGACAGGTAAGCTGTTGATCCCCACATTCACAAGAAATTTGTTCTTCTTAGTTTTGCCAGCAAGCACTTCAGAAACAGCATCATTCACTGACTTCGGTTCACAGCCATCCTCAACAGGTTCTGCGATCTTCATCTCCATTTCAGCCTAGCAGTGCAAGCGACAATACATGGCTAACTGATCAATGCATACCAATTTAATCTATCATTTGTTTGTGAACTAATTGACAATTTACTTACAATAGCTGATTGTACAGCAGGAGCGAAGGCTTTCTTCTTGCTGCAGTGGAGCTCTTTAAACAAATCAAGCCCATTTGGTGGTGCATCTTTGTACTTGTCCCCCTAAACAATGAAAGAAAACCAAAAATTTGAGCTTGTTACTTCTTCAATGTATTTTGAACAGTGATTACAAATCTGTAATATCTCTAATATTAATTAACACTTCATGCATCAACTATCTATACAAGAGGATAACAAATCAATATGTATTAAACAAACATTAACTAAATTGGACTCACCAATTCGATGATGTGCATGTCATAGCTGCGAGAACCAGTTGTCTGGTGGAACTGCACTTTAGCTCTGTTTGCTTTGTTCTTTTCACAAATCAACTGCAGCAACAAAGTTATGATCTTAAGGCACCTATGAGATCCACATGGTAAACTTGAAATGAAAATTATTGCCAAGAGCTTACCATTTTTTTTTCATCCTTCCAGTGTTCAACAAGTTGAAGCCACTGAAGATCACTCATGCATGTTACAGGAGATGTTTTCAACACCAGATGAAGTGGATAAGGATCAAAATACTTCTTTTTGAGCTTATGTCGCTGCTGGCAAACAGCTCTCTTCATCATTGCCACACATGCCTTTCTCACAGGACCAGCAGTTGTGTCCATATCAAACTTTGACTGAAAACAGGTAATGTCATAGTCAATTGCTAGATAACGAATCTAAAACAGATATTAGGCAGCGTATGGTAGTTCAAATTTGTGCATTCAATTAATGCTTCAGAGAAGAGTAATGCCTTCAAGCAAGACCATCCAAAAATGAAAATAACATACTCACTAAATTCAATAACAGATGCACAATGTACCCTAATTCTCACTCATTCAGAGACACACACATTCAAAGACACATGAACTTCAGAGAAATTGCAAGTACTTGTTAGAGATGGTATGTAATGTTATGTTCACAAATAAACATAGTGGAAAGCCTAAAGTTCAGACACTCACCCCAACTTTGTTGATGTAAAACCTTAAGAGTTTCTTGTTGTCCTTGTAATCCTTCCATTTTGGGAATATGGGAACATGGTTCCTGACTGCAATGTTGCACTCGGTGGCAAATTTTGCAGCAATTTTCACAGAGTTTGGCCTCATTTTACCTGGTTCAATGACCACAGGAAGTTTGCCCTTCTTTGAGCGGGACATCCTTTCAAGACCTCTTCCTACATTAGGACCCCTTATCCACCTCTCCTCATATGCTTCTGCATCTGCAAAGGATACAATTAACAACACTTGTGTGGGCTGTTGAATTTAGAAAGGGTTTAGAGTGTCGGGATTTGGAGAAGATACCTTCAGAATCACCCTCTGCGTTTTCATTGACGTTGGTGTCATCAAGAGTATGCTCATCAAGGTGGGGGGTAGTGTCCATCTGGCAATCATCGTTCCATCCAACACCTTGAATAATGAAAACAGAGTTTGTGATAGCTATCAAGATATGGCATTTGCTGTGAATTTAAATACTAATTACTGTTATCAAAAACTTGTTAAAGTAGCTTGCACAAACCTTCTTCAGTATGAGCAGCATTAACCTCGCTTAAAGCCTGAATTGGGATTTCAGCTTGAGTGTCAGCAGCGAGAACCTCACTTGTAGCCTGAATTGGGATCTCAGCTTGAGTATCAGCAACAAGAACCTCACGTGTAGCAAGAACATCTGGTGCCACATGCTTTTTAGACCTCGTCACTTTACCAGGTTGCAATGGTGCAACAACTCTTTTGCCCCCTATGGCGTGATGAGTCACAGAGGTTACATTCTCAGTATTCTTCTTGGATTTCTTGGTAGCAGGCTGCAATAAATGAAATAAATGAATATGTAAAGTAATCTAGAACTAGTGAATTATTGACAAAGGTTGTAAAACATTATTGAATGGAGAGATCTAGTACCTTATGTTTCAAGCAATCATGTCCAGACTTCATGTTCTGTAGGTCTTCAGTCTCAGGTACTAGGCTATCATTACTAACATAGCCCTCACTGAGATCATCATCTTCAGCATTGGCATCAAAGTCAGGGTCATCATTGTCCTTATTCTTTTCTCTATCTCGCTGGGCAACTGAATTTCCAAACACAATACTGGATAATGCTGGTACCCCTAGCCGTCGCATCATAGCATTGTTCTGAAGACACGTTCTCATCCTTTTCAGTTCATAGTCATTAAGTGGGGTTTCTGCATTAACAAGAACAATTATAGCCTAATATTTGCATAAACCAAAAATCTAACGAGGGCTATATTCCCTAGCCACTGTCGCTAGCAAATCCTAGCACATGAGGGCAACTCAGATAGCTAGTACAGAGGAAGGCAGAGAAAGTATTCACCTGTAATCTTGGGTGCTGACCGGGGCCTCTTTGCTTGCCCTTTCTTCTTCGGCGCCATTAGGGTGGTGTTGCGGTCGATGTCCACTGCGGTGGTGCAGCGTCGTTGGGCTTTCGGCGGCATATGGATCGCGTCCTACGAACCGGCGGCGGTGGAGATTGGACGCACATAGGGTTTGGGGTGAACAATGTGGTGTATTTATACCAACCAATGAGTGCATGCGAAATTACCTACAAGTCCTCCTATTTAGAAGAGTCTAGGTCATGGCAAGCGAGGGTATAAGAGTCTTTTGCAGCTTCGAATACATTTTGGAGGTGCGCGGAGCGCGCGCACCAAGCGAAATTTTGCCGCCGAAATGGAGTTGGGTTGATTGGAGTTCAGGCCCAGTTAAGGATATAATGTTTTTAATTTTTCTTTCAGTAGCATAAATACATTTCATTTAAAAATATAAATTATAATAAATATGCTGATTATGAAAAATTCATCATCACAAAAGTTGTTTGAATTATTGAGATCTAGAACTTTTGTATTGGTCCTTTCTCCATAGGAGTTCGTTTCATATTGTGAAATTTGAAATCAACAATATGAGAAGTTCCAAAATTATTTGGGGACCAGAACTGATTTGAAATGAAGAAATCATAAAAAACAAAGTTGTAGAACTCTTGGGTGTGTACTACTTTTGTTTTCATCATTTTTCCAATTTACATTGTTTGAACAACTCAAAATTTGAATTTCAAAATTTTAGAACTTCGAATACAAAATTGAGACACTAAATGACTTCAAATGAAAAAGTCAAGAAAACCAAAGTTGAATAACTCATCAAAATCTACAACTTTTATTTTGGTCATTTCGTTATCCGAGAAACTAATATGAACATTATTCACAAATTTTTCATCTCTCTCATAGTTCTATGAAACACTATGAGAGGTTTGTAAATTTGTGAACAATATTATAATCACTTGATCGGATGAAAAAATGACCAAAATAAAAGTTGTAGATCTTGATGAGTTATTCAATTTTGTTATTCTTGACTTTTTCAATTGGAGTCATTTATTGTTTTAAAATGATATTTGAAGTTGACATTTTTTGGAAATTCAAATGTTGTATTGATAAAACAAAGTCCCATGAAAAGATGAACAAAATAATAGCTTCAAGAACACAGTTAATTGATAGAACACGATTTTATAAAATTTTAGGGAAAAAACATCAAATTTGAAGCAAATCGTGAATAGCGTTGTTGTTGAATTGTGCAAGTGAACAGCTACTATGTATGTTAGTCAGCTAATGTATGTGTGTTTCTGTGTGGTTGTATGATTCCTGAAATTGAATTGAAATGAAATGTGCTCTGCTCAACCAGTTCACTACTTGTGTTATGTACTGTAAAATCAATTCACAGGTTAAATGACATGATAAATTCATCGAAAAAAATGACATGATAAATTAAATTTCTCAGAACTGAGCTAAGCTGAGCATGTATGCCATCTTTCACATGTTGACAAGCACATAGACAGTTCAATGGTAGAAGTATATAGGCATGATGGCCTTTCACATGCTGACAGAATATATAATTCACACAATTTGGACAGGATGTCACAAAAGATCTCAGCTCACAAAGACAATACTTGTCGCACTGACTTAAGTTGACAAACATAAGTTCATAAAATGCCAATAGGGGCATCACATACACATGTCACAACAGGAACTACTCATCATCGCTATCTACCTCAACTGGGGCAACTTCACCTTCACTCCAATATTCCACAGCCGTGTCGTCCTCTATCTCATCACCAGACGATTCACCATCTTCAGCAGGTCGATTTTGCTTCATAAGTCGAGCAACTTCAGAAGCATCAACAACCTGGCGAGCTTCATCATCTCGGTTCAAAGGCAGGTCAGATAAATTCTCATCTACCTCTGGTCTTCTCCCATCTTCCTCAATGCACTGTGTCTGTTGATACGGAGATGCACTAGGTGCATTTTGTTCATCAACATTGTATAAATGCCGATGCTTAAACATTTGGACAAGCTGCCAATTTTCGCCATGCTTATTATCTGGCAGGTAGAAAATCTGTTTAGCTTGAGTCGCTAGTATGAAACAATCTTTCTTGTACCAAAAGCTTCCAGTATTGACGCTTCTAAAAAAACCATCATCTTTTAGTGCAGTCTTCTTGCCATCTAGCTTGTACCATTCACATCTAAAAAGAACCACCGTTCTTGTATTCCCATCATCCTTGCTGTTGTACTGCAACTCAATAATATCTGTCAACTTTCCAAAGTAATCAATTACCCGACCATTATGTATTCCAGCACACGCCACTCCAGAGTTTTGAGTCTTCTTATTTATGTCACGCTCAGCAGTACAGAACCGGACACCATTGACAACACATGAAGAGTAAGATCTTACTCTCAGGTCAGGGCCACATGCTAAGGCAAACAGGTCATCATCTACAATATCTGAATTGTTCAACCTCCACATCTGCAAAAGGGATTGCGGATTAGCAAATCATTAATCAAAACACAACGTATATCGAAAACAAAATGTGAGGCAACTAACATGGTTCCTGAACCAAGTAGCAAATCCAAGCCTAGTCCTTCTATCAATATCAGCTGCTTGCACCCCTGCTTCCTGTAATTCGCCTTGAAACATTCTGTGAACAAACAGATTTCAGCAATTAAATCAAAATGCAAATGTGCAAGAGTACAAGATAGAGAGGTTAGAACATACTTTATATAATCCTGGGCCTGATCGCAATTATATAGGATATACCAAACCATTTGATCAAAATCTTCAGAGTAACCATAGTCACATGCACCAATCAGATTAACACCGTGCCCAAAAACATCAATATTGAAGGCCGATGGATCTGAGAATCCTGGATTTCTCGGTGCTCGGTTAAACCTAGTCTCCACATCCTCCATATACCTAGAGCAGAATGTGAGGGCTTCATCTGCAACATAAGCCTCAGCAATCGAGCCTTCCGGTCGTGCCTTATTCCTAACCGACCTCTTCAAAGTGTACAATCGTCGCTCAACAGGATACATCCACCCAAATTGCACTGGCCCTCGAAGCATTGCCTCGTCAGGCAAATGGACAGCAAGGTGAACCATTACATCAAAAAAAGCGGGTGGAAATAGTTTTTCAAGCTTGCATAGTATAGCTGGTATTTCTGTCTTCATTCGAACCAAGATATCTTTGTTGAGTGTTTGGCTGCACAATTCCCTAAAAAATTTCCCAAGCTCGGCAATCACTAAACATATATCATCATCCAAAATACCTCTCATACCAGCAGGTAATATCCTTTGCAACAGAATGTGGCAGTCATGAGTTTTAAGCCCATGCAAGCTGGTTCCCTCTGCAGTTATGCATCTTTCGATATTTGCAGCATAGCTATCTGGGAACTTTGTTTCTTTCAAAAATTTACAGAATTTAATCTTTTTTTCCCTAGACAATGTGTATCTAGCTTCAGGCATGTGATAATCATCTCCATTTGGCTGCAACTGCAATTCTGGTTTAATATTCAAATCAGCAAGATCAAGCCTTGCATTAACATTGTCTTTTGACTTCCCATGTATGCCAAGAAGGGTACCAAGGAGGTTTTCACAAATATTCTTTTCAATGTGCATCACATCTAGATTGTGTCTAAGCTTCAAAGATGGCCAATATGGTAAATCCCACAAACTAACCCTCCTACCCCAAATTGGCACATGTCCCTCTGAACGCTTCCTTTTTTGACCTGGTCTAACATCATTTACCTTGGCCAATTCTTCTAACAGCTCTTCAGTTGTGAATGTACCTGGCTTCTCTTTGCTTTCATGTAGAGAGGCATATTCATTATTCGTGCGCAGACGATGACGCCTAGGAAGGAACCGACAGTGACCAATATAACAAAGCTTGTTCCTTATGGAATATGATAGAGGATTTTTGTCACAATGGAGACAAGCAAAGAAACCTTGTGTGGTCCGACCAGACAAAGTACTAAGTGCTGGATAGTCATGAATGCACCACAACACGGCAGCACGAAGCTTGAAATCTTTTCCTGTCAGAGCATCAACTGTATCAACACCAGACCAAAGACTAAGTAACTCCTCTATAAGAGGCTGGAGAAAAACATCAAAGTGCTTCTTCCCAGGCGATCTAGGACCAGGAATCAACAAAGCCATCATGAAGTTTGATTCTTGCATACATGACCAAGGTGGAAAGTTGTATGGAATCACAAAAATAGGCCACATACTATAAGATGATCTCATATTGCCAAACGGATTGAAACCGTCTGTAGCCAGGCCAAGCCTAAGGTTCCTTGCATCTTCAGCAAAATCTGGCCAGCATTTGTCAAAATCTTTCCATGCCTCTCCATCTGCAGGATGGGACATTTCCTTCTCTTTGGGTTCCCTATTCAACTTATGCCATTGTGCTTCCTCTGCTGTTTTCTTGGTAGCAAATATTCGTTGAAGCCTAGGTATCAACGGAAAATGCCGCAATACTTTTTCTGGAACCTTCTTATTCACAGGATCTTTCCATCTTGATGCTTGACAAACTGGACAAGTATCAAGTTCTGCATACTCCTTTCTAAATAGCACGCAATTGTTTGGGCAAACATGTATTGACACATAACCCAGTCCTAAAGTACGCAGCATTTTCTTTGCTTCTTCATATGAATTGGGAAGACAATTGTTCTCTGGGAACGCTTTGCGCAAGACTTTCAACTGTGCAGAAAATGCTGAGTTGCTGATCCTGTAGTATGACTTCAAATGGAGCATCTTGACTACAAATGAAAACCTTGAAAATTGAGTGCAACCAGGATATAGCTCATGCTTTGCCTCTTCCATCAGAGTTTTGAAAACAGACTCATGGTTACTAGATGGGTTGCCATCTCCATTTGCTGCATTATTACAAGGTACTTGAGCCCCCATGAGGTCTGTTAAGATATCTTCAACTCTATCTGCAGCATTGTTTTCATGTTCTATAGGATTAGAATGTGGATCCACATCTACTGGTTCCTCCAAAACATGAACATCATTGGCCTCTCCATGATGAATCCATCTTGTATATGTACTAGACATCCCATTGAGCAATATGTGCCTCTCCACATCTCTTTGAGCCATGGATTTCTGGTTAATACACCGACTACATGGACACAAAATTGCAGCATCCCCAGGAAATCGCTCTTCAACAAATTTCATGAAATTTCGAACACCATCAATATAATCTGGTGTGAAAAGTGCACCATGTATCCATCGTCTATCCATCTAGTACAGAAAATTCAGGCACCAGATTGACATCACATTCATGGCTAAACTCCCTATCATACCCTCTAATCGAAGTGGATATCGAAATACATACCAGGCCAATCAGTGGAGCTCTTCAATGGTTGAACTCCAAGGGAAGCCAATGGAGCTCGTCGATAGGCGAGCCACGCCGGAGGCAGGCAGACTGTAGATCTCGACGGCAGAGTACCAGGACAAACCACTGCTACCGCACCCCCCCCCCCCCTCCATCGCTGCTGTACCCAGCCTCCGACGCTGTCGCACCTCGCCTTCGCCGATGCCGCCCCCCGCCTTCGCCGATGCCGCCCCCCGCCTTCGCCGCTTCCACCCCACGCCCCACTTCTTTTCCTTCACTGCTGCCGCACAGTCGCCGGCAGGCCCAGGTTTTCAACTTGGGTATTCGAAATTAAAAGAGATAGAAAAAATTTCATAAAGTCATAGATGGATAGAATTGACCATAAATTGAATGCGTTAAGCATATTAAAGTACAATACTAAACTATTAATTAACAAAACATTTCAAATTTATAGAGCATACAAAATGACAAAATGATAAAAAATTAACAATTTAGAGAAGAACTTTTCGTTTCTTGATATTTTGAAAATGATTGATGATGTCTTTTTCCTACAATACAACAATATAGTATATTCAACCATGAATCATTAATGGATCAAATTCTAAATAAAAAATGTTTAACCATGAACAATATCCTAGAGGCTAGATTCAACTATGAATTAAATCCTAATATCTTATATTCCTATTTCCTAATCCAAAATGTTCCTACTTCCTAATTCCTAACCACATGACATCTAGGTGACTAGACATGAAGGGGAAACTTAGTCATTATTGCTATTTATCTGTGGTAAACTGGTAATGTAGAAGTAGTAAGTTCCTATGGTACTCCATTACTCCAAGACAACTTACCTTCAGCGCGCTGGCGTCCAGTGGCGGTGGCGGGCTGGTGCGGCGCCGTGGCGTGGCATTCTGGCGTCGGCGTGTCGCCGGACTAGGGAGGCGACGAGACGGGATGCCGGGACGACCGGACGGGCGGCGGCACGGCGCGAAATCGCGAGTCAGCGAGTGCACGGCGGGCCGCGCCGCCGCGCGCAAGGGGGCGGGGCGATGGCCGACGGGCGACGGGGCGGGCCGGAGGACGACGGGCGGTCGGGCGCCGGGCGGGCGCAGGGCGACCGCCGACCGGCGACGGCGAGGCGACTGGCGCTGGCGGCCTGACGCGGCGCCGCGGGCTTCCTCTCCCTGGCTGCCTTGCGGCTGGCGGCTGGCTGCTGAGAAGGTTGTGAGGAGGAAAGGCAGATCACGATAGGGTTCCAATCCATTTTGGGCCTTCTTTTCCTATTGGGCCAGTGGGCTGAAATGGTGAGGAGAGAAAAATGGTGGGATGGTGAGTTCAGTCTGGGCTTTTTTGAGTGGGTAGACCTTTTTTCTTTTTCCTTATATATATATATACATATGAAATATATACTTCATATATGTATTTTTTCTGAAAAAATCTTGGGTATTCATTTGAATACCCATGAATAACTGTGGCCCCGCCCCCCTCGTGCCTTCATTCACCGATGCCACACCCCGCCTTCACCGCCTCCATTTCCACCACCGCCGCGCCGCCGTGACACACGTGTTATTTGTTTTTAGGGTTTGATTTTCATATGATGACGAAGGGATGTGTATGATTTGTTTGTATAAATATGCAGTGTTTTAAGTATAAAGAAATGAATATACCGTTTCAAACATTCAATCACAAGTTCCATGGCATTGCAGTGGTAAGCCATTTCTCTCTGGCCTGGCCGATCGTAAGGTCGAATCCTGGGTTGGCCGCCTTTTTTTTTTTCTTTTCTCGCTATTTAGGCTGCTGTCCATATCACCGTCCACGTCACCATGACATCCACGTCGCTAGGGGTCCCACTGTCCACGTCACCAAATATCCATCTGTGATATTTATTCGAAAGCGTCATAGATAATTATGAAGGTGACAAATGGTTGAGATTGTCACAGAGTTAGCATCTAATTCTCAAACCGTCATAGGTGTACTACGCGATGACAATTTCAGAAACCGTCACCAGTAAACCGTCATGTACTAACATATTTCTTGTAGTGAAAGAGGATGAGCTATATACTAAGATCATAGGTATCGGTTCTTAACTAGAACCGGCATGTATATCTGAAGCCATATAGGTGCCAGTTATTATAGTGAACCCTCCAATGGCTACTTCCGATGGTGAAGATCTTAAAGGTGTCGGTACTTAAATAGAATTGACACCTTTCTCGGATAGCGATGTTGGTTCTAAAATAGGCCCCACATTTTAGAACTTTGATGAGATAGAAATAAACCCTACACTTTTTATTTATGTCCTCATATCACTTAAATTAAATTTGATGGTAACTAGTTATAGTTTAATTTGTTTTTTTATAACTTGTAAAAGTTAAAATTTAATTTACATTTTTATAACGATATAACACATGTTAATACATCATCTCAAATATTTTTAAATTTTTTCATAACTGTTTGACTAACATACGAACAACCAGAAAACGTCCCCTCCAGTTGAAAATCCACTGTCCACGCGCCCACACGAAACCTAGCTAATAACCATCTATCTTTCGGCGACGATCTCCCCCGTGGCGGGGCTACTACTCCTCCCTGCCACGGTGGTCTCCACGGCCGCCGCCGCCGCCGCCATCTTCCGCTCCCCCTCCGGCGCCCGGCCAACCACGTCGGCGCGGCACACGGGGCACCACCGGCTCTTCCTCAGCCACGAGTCCACGCACGGCGCGTGGAAGCTGTGCTCGCACCGCGGCAGCCGCCGGCACCGGTCCCCGGCCTCCAGCTCCTCCAGGCACACCGCGCAGTCCCCGCCGCCGCCGCCCTTGACGACGTCGTGGCACGGCAGCGCGCCGATCTCGTCGGCGGACAGGCCCTTCCCTCCTCCTCCTCGGGCTCCACCGCCGTTCCCCTCCGCCGCGCGCCCGGGCGCCGCCTCCTCCTCGCCGCGCGACGCCCCGCGCCCGCGCCGCAGCGCCCAGAAGACGACGACGATGTGGACGACCAGCATCAGCGCGACGCCGGCCACCAGGAGGAAGATGGAGATCACCGACGACGACGACGGCGACGCCATTATATTCTAGCTAATAACTAAGCTACGCAGCTCGTGGACCTCCATGTGCTGCAGCCATGGATGCATCGTCTTTGCTTCTTCCGCTGCTCTTGCTTTGGATGTGGAGACAGATAGCTAGATATATAGCTAGCGTTGGATTGTTCAGGAGAAACCAAAGAGGAGATGACGACGACGACGACGACTGTAACTGTTAATTACTCAACCAGATCAGCATGCAAATTAAGCTAGTTGAGGAGGGAAGCTAGGCATGCATTAAGTGAAGTAGTTAACACACTCATCGTCACTGCTGATAATTCAAGCCAGGAGTGACCGAAACAGAAGGGACAAACATAACAGTTCAGTGTTGCAAGCCCAAATGTGCATGCCTGTTAATTGGGGTGTTTTAAATGTGAGCTTAGAGCATCACCAACACTTCCCCCAAATTCCAAATCCAAGAAATCTTTTTAGGAATCTCTAATCAGGAGTTAGGATTTTTTTAAAAAAACTCTTATTTTTAATAGTTTGCGTAAAATTAGCTCTCTAAAAAAAAAGTATGCCCACCTTCAACCCCCTCCATGCTATTGTCCTCTCCATCCGCGCGATCGGTCCCTCCCCCTCTGCTTCACGCTATCAAAGATTGGAAGTGGTTGTGCGCTCCCAACTTGTGGAGAGCTTAAAAATTGGATAAGGGGCGTTGAAATTTTCGGGAATTGATTGGGGGGGACTGTTGGAGCATGATTTTTAACCTAGAAATCATATAATTTTTGTGTTGGGAGCTGTTGGTGATGCTCTTAGTTAATAATCTGTACTCACCCTATAGCCTATAACATAAGTAAGGTGTTTTGGTTTTCTTACTGGTTAAAATTTTCTAACTTCGATAAGTTTATAGAAAAATATATAAACATATAAAATCAAGTTAGTTTCATTAAAATCCACCCTGAAATATGTCTTGATAGTGTATTTATTTGGTATATTACTATAGATGTTAATTATCTTTTTACATGGTAAAAGTAGAAAATTTTTATTTAAGATAAAATTAAATTAAAATGCCTAACAATATGGAACTGAGGGAGTATATTGAGATGGATTATAGTTACTTGTTTGATGTAATTGCCTTTAACATTTTAATATTTGATAAACAACAACTTTAACCTATGAACTGGATATAACGTATTTTTTTCTAACCTTAACTTGATTTGCAAAACTAGTTATAATGATTATAGATTTAATTTTTTCATGACTATAAAAGGTGGCCAAACATGGAGGAACACAACAACCGTGAATTGAGCCATAATAATCGTCTCTCTCATGCCTATCTCGTTCTACATACTACTAATTACTCCCTCCGTCTCATAATATTAGGGATTTTAAGCTTTTGCTTACAACGTTTGACCACTCGTCTTATTAATTTTTTTTTGAAATTATTAATTATTTTATTCGTGACTTACTTTATTATCTACAGTACTTTAAGCACAACTTTTCGTTTTTTATATTTGCAAAAAAAATTTGAATAAGACGAGTGATCAAACGTTGCAAGTAAAAACTGAAAATCCCTTATACTGTGAGACGGAGGGAGTAATTGTTTTGAGAAGATGCATCCATGATCCATGCTGAATTAAATTGTCATACCAAATTGCAGATAGAATTCCTTTAAGAAAAGGGGAAAGATAGACGACAAAGTAGGGCAGCAGGGGGCAGGGTATATACTCCCTCCGTCTCTAAATAATATTTGATGCCATTAACTTTTTTTAAAACATATTTGACCATTCGTTTTATTCAAAAACTTTTGTAAAATATGTAAAACTATATATATACATAAAAGTATATTTAACAATGAATCAAATGATAGGAAAAAAATAATAATTACTTAAATTTTTTAAATAAGACAAACGGTCAGACATGTTTAAAAAAGTTAACGGTGTCAAATATTTATGGACGGAGAGAGTATATTTCAGTTCTTAATCGGATAATGCCATTGGAAAAGGTAAAAGATATTGTGTTCAAAAGCGGCATGTTGTGTGTGCATTGTTCCAATTTGATTCACTACTACATTTTTTTTATTATGATCTTTTTGATTCGCTACTACTTGTCTTGCTACCGATGGATAATGGATATGTATGGAGGAGTAGCTACCTAGGAAATGGACCGCTAGTCCAAATTTTATATGGGAAAGTTTGTGACATTAGACGGACCTCCTTTCGTCAGCACGATATGAAAGGATGTGCCCAGCCCGTGACAGTCACACTTTAACGGTGCATGGTTTTGTCACCCAAAACAGGGGGACTATGCTACATCGCATTTGCAGCCGACAAAATTGATGAGCTGAGATGCAAAGCACGGTCAAGCTAGTTAATTACTTCCTCCATTTCATATTACAAGACTTTATAGCATTGTCCACATTTATATAGATGTTAATGAATCTAATGTGCCTAAATTCATTAATTAACATCTATATGAACGTGAGCAATGCTAGAAAGTCTTATAATCTTAAACGGAGGTAGTAGTTAATTAGGTGCGATGCAAACAACGACGGGAGAAAGGCAGAAAGCTAGCTCACATTTTTTTTTAATCTCTATGATCAGGGCTACTGTCAATAACTTCCTGGTTAATCAGGGATTAATCATGAGCTATGCAAGCTACCTAATCCTCAGGTTGAATTTACTTACTTACTGGGCCAGGATATTTGTTAATCACCTGGTTATTGCAAGATCAGTGTCACTTTTGAATGGATATGGTCACTATGAGTATATTTGGTCGCTCATATCCTCCATGCCTATCCTATCTCTCTAATCCTCGCTAAGTTTAATCTAGTGAAGGACATACACACGTAGCTATTGGGTTTTTCACATCGGACAAACCTAGACACAATGAGATGTTGTTTGGTTGGTTGCATTAAAAATACCAAATGTAGAAGAGTTTATTTGGTTATATGGACTTTCAGAATAGTTACTTCTCTATTTGGTAGGGTGTTGATGCGAAAAACACACACTGGACTGGGAGATCTGTTTAACTCCAGTACAGGTTCTAAATCTTGCTCTTGGGTTCAAAGGCATGCCAGTTGATTTGATCCAGCAATCAACAAGAAAAAAACACAAAGAAATCGTAGTTAAATCCATAAACGATAGCCGATCGGTTAGGGCCGATGACGTATCGTTCAAACTCTGAGCCGCTGGTATTGATAATAGATTGGCGATGAAGAATAAAGGAATATAAGGTTAAATCTACTCGATCGGCTGTAGATATTAATGATATATAATCATGTTAATAAAATATATTTAAGCTAAGCGATTGGGATATATCGAACAGTATGTCGAGACAGTATAAATCACTTATACTCAAATGTACTTTAAGATGACAATTATATATACATTTATAGAGCCGATCAAATAGATCTAACATGTATCGGCTAATACTCCGATACCACTCTATATTAAGATATTGAAACAAATAAGATATATCAGACAGCACACCTGATATACTTTAATGGAACAAGATCTTAATATAAAGGGCAGATTTAGCATGTCAATCAAGCATACAATAAATAAAGTAGCTAAATCAGGTAAGATCGGCTGAAACCCCGATGCTATCTTCGTTAGAGATCATAAAACAAGCCAGATATTGCAGTTACGAATATTACTTAATAGATCGAACTCAACCGATGCAGCATTAAGCATAAGGATAAATACAAGATCTAAGCAAGATGATGAAAACCTTAGAAAGATGGTAGATATGCTATATAATCTAGATTAATAACGAAATCGAACCCTATCGGCTACTCTCCAGTGATAGATACTAGCCGATCATAGATTAAATCGTGAAACTAATAAAGGTTATGAAACATATATGATAACTTGACGATTCACATAAACAAGATTAGAGTAACATGAAGATGCAAGCACTAATCCCGAGAACGCAAGCTGACATAACAAGTTTACCTCTTGTTGAAGATTGAAATCGATGCAGCTCAATCCGAAAGCAAGAACTCGTCGAAAACATTGAAAGTAGAAAAGGGTGGCGATGCGCTGAAAGTGTTATTGAACTGTCGTTTTTAATTACATGGGTTCGGGTCATATTTATACCCGAGATACATGATAGGTCCTTACCGGACACGACTCTTATCTCTAACAAACTCTAAAATACAAACGAATCTTCACGGCGGACTCTTGCCGAAACATATCTCTAAAGAAACTATTCAAAATATCCTAATTAATAGATACAATTGCCTATCTGTGAGCTTACCTCTATCGTGGCAATCCTGATGTAGCACGTCGATTGATTCCGGAAACGGTTTCATAACCATCTCAACGAAATCGGCCGTATCGGCTGTATCGGCTATCTTCTGTCCGACCCATCTCAGCCGATGCCCTCGCAGCCGATACGTACTCTGTTTTCTGAACACAATCCTTCACCGAATCTACTTCGATTCTGATGTCGAACCTGGTTCATGGTTTACTAAATTTGGTCGTTAACAAGGGTTATAATATATCATTTTTTTAAGAAATATATTAAACACCCAATATAACCATAATAACTCAAACGTCGATTCTTTTTTTTTTAAAAAAAGAGTATAGTGCATGGATGACCTCTAAACTTATGTGAATGCATGTGTCATATAGGTCCTTGAAGTTGTTATGTGTATCATATAGGTCCAAACGGGTTTCAACCTATTCCGTACGCTGACGTGGTATGCTATAGTAGCACCTATAGTACGTGCCGGTGAGATCCATGTGTTAGTCACATATAGAAACAAAATTAAAAACATATTTTTCTCCTCTCTCTCTCTCTCTCTCGCACTCTTAATTTATTATCTTTCTATGTGACTGACATGATATGTGGGTCCCACTGACACGTAGGCAATACTGTAACATGCCACTTTAGGACACGGAGCGGGTTGGAACCTGTTTGAACCTATATGACATCCAGGACAAGTTTGGGGACTTAAAAGTATATTATGAAATTTCAGGGACCTATATAACACACAAGTTTAGAGACCACCCGTGCACTTCACCCTTAACAAAAAATACAATAGTGTTTGACCCTCAATAATGGAGCGGCCCTTTTTACAACAATTAGGTGGAAAAAGAAAAAAAGGAAAAAGGGAAAAAGAAATAAAGAAAAAGGAGAGAGGACTCGAGAAGAGCTTTGTCTCATCGTCGTTGGTCTATTCGCCTGTTCGCCATTTAGCACCACTCACCACCGCCAGAACCACCAGATCCGATGGGCACGAGCTCAAGGCCACTAGATCTAATGTTGGCGAGCTCGTGGCCATGGGATCCTGCATCGCGATGGCTGAAAGAGAGGACAACGGCCACTAGATCTAATGTTGAAGGCGGCAGCCGGTGAGAAAGTAGTGAAGTGGCGTCAGTAGTGTGATGGAGGTGCGGTAGCGCTCCTCTTCCCAGATCTAGTAGTGATGGGAAGCAATGCCAACCAGATCCAGTTAGGCGAGTGGTGGGGCGATGAAGATGACGGGCGTGCCTCGATGAAGATGACGACAACGACCATGGAGCGATGGGAAGACACCGCTGATGTGCCTATTTACCCATCGCAGCCCTCCGCCCACCACTCCTCGCTGCATTGGATCTGGCGGCCGGCGACAGAAGAAGGTGCGGGACGATGGTGGCCAATGATTGAAGGTGCGGGAACTACTTGAACAGGAGGGATGTAGCAGCAAGGTGGATCCATCGTGCACCATTCCCTCCATCAAGCTCATTGTCCCCATCTTCATTGCCTCATCGCTTGCTGGGGAGAAATGAGGAGTGTCCAGGAGCAAGGTGTTGACCCCATAGCCTATCCTTGCACATGTGGGCCTGGCCGAGTAGCGAAGCTCAAATTGAGCATTCCAACTTAGCTTGACTCGGGGTGGTGGTGTGGGGGGGGGGAGGGGCTTTTTGCATCCGTTCGTCCATGCTAGGAGCGACATGCATGCAACCAAATGACAACCCATTGCATCCGTGCATGCGAGCCAGGTACCATGCAGGCAACCAAACATGCCCTATGGTTTGGTCCCTTACGGGCCCAACCTTAATATGTAATACCACCCCCGCCTTGCCAGTGCTAGCAAGGCCCGCCGATCACCACCTCCCTCCATCCTACTCTGTATGTGTTGGGGCATCTTCTTTTATTCCTCAAGTCAAATAAGAACCCAATCCCCTACTTCTCATCCTCTGTCAGTCTGTCTCTAGCTGCTTTTTTTTGTTGGGGGTAGTACACTACCCCTATCTGTGTCCCGTCCCTTCCCTTGCCTCCTAACCACTTCGACAACAAGTAGTCGCTAGCTCACACTAGCTTAGTGCTCTCCTCCTATACTGTGGCTAAGGTGGCTCCCTACCACCTGGCTAGCTAGCAGGGGCACAAATCCAAAAAAAATGGCCAAGTATCCAGAGGCGGGGAACGTGCCGAGGGTAGTATGGGTGGGTATGAAAATACTGAATTCGGTCAATTTGTCTAGTACCCTCGGTTAAGCAAATAGATCGGACTGAGCAGATGAGCTGTCCCCCATCCCGCATCACCTTGCTGCCTCCATTAAGCACCTTGTGACATCCTGGCCCAATCAGGATGAGGCATGTGTAGCCCATGTGAGCTGTGTGCGTATGTTTAGTACAACCTTGCTAGTTTAACAAGGGTGGAACCAACTTACAAGGCCGTGTCCCTCCAACTATACCACTCCCAGATTAACCCTTTTACACAAAGCGAGAACGAAAATGTAAGTGTGGTGGTATGTGTAAGTGGGTCCGCCCGTCGGATGGACTAGCTATGCGGTTCTGAAGGGAGGGCTGTTGCACACCCGCACCACCTCGTTGCCCCCATCTAGCACCGGTGCGGTAGGCCACTAACCACATATCCAACCTTCCTCCTCCACTCCTCCACATCACGTGCTCCCTTACAACAGTGTGTTCGCAGGACGCCGCTCCGAGCCTTCGATGCTTGCGTGTGTGCTGGCAGTAGCAGAGATCCATGAGCGATGGCTGGAGATGGGTTCATGTGTTTTGTGATTTTTGACGATTGTGTGTTTGTTTGGTTTTTTGATGATCTTGGACTCTGTGTGATGCTTGCATCCCTAGATGATCTTTTTGGATAACTCTAGATGATTTTGGTCATGATCGAGACCGTATTGCTTGGTCCTAACTTTTTTTTAATGTAAGTCAATCTTAATTTTGAGATGACCAAAACTTCCTCAATGACCGAAGACTGAGATGGAATCCCTACCCCTAGAGGATAGGCCCCCTCCTACATATTCTTTTTATGTAGGATTATTTAATTAAATCGATAATTAACATAAATAGTGTATTAGGCACTCTCCATATCTCTTACCTCTCATCTTGGGTCAGTAGATGCCGGTGTCCCATACATGTCACTATATCATAACTAAACTTCTTGTGCTCTCAACATCAAGCACTTCTATATACTTTTGTTTCTATATCATTATATGCTATCATTTAATTAAGATTGAATAGTTAGTTTGGTCCTTAAACTTTTACTTCTGAGTCAAATTAGTCCTTGATATTTCATAGTGGCCAAAGGCTGAGTGCCTGTTTAGATCCCCTGATAAAATTTTTCACCCTATCACATCGAATGTTTGAACACATGCATTGAGTATTAAATATAAACAAAAAAAAAACTAATTACACAGATTGCGTGTAAATTGCGAGACGAATCTTTTAAGCCTAATTGCTCCATGATTTGACAATGTGGTACTACATTAAACATTTGTTAATTAGGCTTAATAAATTCGTCTCACGGTTTATAAGATGAATCTGTAATTTGTTTTATTATTAGTCTACATTTAATACTTCAAATGTGTATCAGTAAATCCAATGTGACACGCTGAAACTTTACACCTTTGGATAAACACCCTCTTAGACCTGAAGAAAGGACCATTTTGGAAATACTATATTATTCACTGGGATCCAATTCACGTTCGTCTTGCAAATTTCAGGACCACAAAATTAATATCTGTCAAATCCAAGGGGCTTTCTAAGAAATGTCAGGATCAGGATCGGTTAGTTTGGTATCATCTGAGCCATTGGTTCGACCGGCCGGCGAGGAGTTCCACGCGCCGCCGCCGCCGCTTCTCCTCCAGCCGCCGGCGGGGCCTCCCTTCCTACCCAAGCCTCCGCCGCCGTTCCCATCTCCTCGTCCTCCGTGCCACCGCCGGCGCCTCTTCCGCTGAATCCATCTCCACCTCCTCACCTATTCGCTAACGCCGCCTCCCATCCTCTCTTCTCTCCGGGCTCCGGCTAGATCCAAGTCGGCGTCGAGATCCAGGGCTCGAAAACCCCTCACCTATCCAAGGATTTCAGGTAGTGATCTCTGCGAATTCCTTGAAACTGCATGCTTTTTTAAAAAAAACTCCTGTGGACACTTTAACAATCCAAAATGATAAAGTAGTTAATTGGCTTATTTCCTCACTTTTCTATCTACCAATTGGTTCGTTAATTCATATAGATATATCTTAATTGCTTAGTAAAGATTATCTCTTGGATTGTTGTGTACTCGTCGATTTTTGATATTATCGAGCCGTCCCGAAATAATGGCTATAGTTTCCATCTTCCATTGGGTAGTGTTCATTGTTGTCTCCGTTTCAGCGTTATAAATCAAACATTGTGCAAATTGTAGATAGAAAAAATTGTGAAGATTGAGGAAAACTATCCTACGGCTCAATGAGCAGAGCCGGTATGTCAGACAACCAGTGAAGTCCATGTCTTATGCCCAATGCTTGCACTCAAACCTCATTCCTTTCCTAGGTTAAAGTATGCTGTTTTATTTTGGCCTTGGTGCACATTTAAGCACCAGATCTTTTACTCCCATTTTCATGTCCGCAAATTCATGAACCAGCAGATTAATCATACATGTACACCAATTAAATATTGTAACAGAAGAGATATATATTCATATTCAACATATATGCATAGAGGTGAAGAGTAATCGGTTACTGGGCATGTTGCTGGTGCTATTCTTGTTATTCTTAACGCCCGATGTAGATAAGGATGCCGAGAATAATTCATTCTTCTGTGTACAGCGACGAGGGCTATGGTTCACTGCTGGGCATTGCTGCCTGTCTTTGCTGTCGATTTGACATAGTCCTTCCTAATCTTCTTCAGCATCACGACCACATCCTTCATTTCCATCCTTTGCTCTGGGGAGTCAGCCGAGCAGAGCAAGCCCAGCTCGAAGACTGGCTTAAGGAATCCATCAATGCTACTGGTAGAACAAGAGGTGTCCTGTAGAAGCTGGCCATCGACAACATGGACAAGATCTATAGGAAATGCCCAGTGAACCCACTGCCTGATGCTCAGATCTCCCACAAACATGGCATCTGTGGGTCTCTTCCTAGTGAACACTTCAAGTAGCATGATCCCATAGCTGAACACATCGCTCTTCCGTGACGCTTTTCCAAGAACCCCATACTCTGCACAAGAAAATTAGATTAATGACAACTGATTGCACCACTTAATTGTTGTGAAAAGATCAACTGGGTTGAGTAAGAGTACAAAAGCTACTAAGTACCTGGTGCCATGTAACCAATTGTTCCTGGCATGCTTGCAGAGATCGTAGAGTTATCATCGCCTAGTAACAACCTCGCAATGCCAAAGTCTGCCACATGTGCCGTCATTTCATCATCGAATAGCACATTACTAGGCTTCAAATCACAGTGTACGACCACCTCATAGTGCTCATGGTGCAGGTATTCCATTGCCATTGACACATCTAGCATAATATCCAACCTCTCGAGAAAGCCTAACTGCATCCTTTCTTCCGAGTGTAGGAGTGCTTCTAAGCTACCCTGAGGCATGTACTGAAGAACCAATGCTCTGAACTCCAGGTTGGAGCATGTGTTCAATATCTTTATCAAGTTGCGATGTCGAGCCATTCGAAGCACACGACACTCAGTATCAAAGCTTCTCATGGCATGTTCCAGATGGTTGTGTATAACTTTTATGGCAACCACCAAACCGCTACTCAACTGGCCCTTAAAAACTTTTCCGAAGCTTCCAGATCCCAACATATTGTCTTCACTGAAATTATCGGTAGCGCGAACAAGCTCATGGTAGGAGAGTAATTGGTGGCTGATCATGTCAAGCATACCAGAAGAAATATTTTGATGCTTAACTTTCTTTCTAATTATTCCATATAGGCAACAAGTTACCGCTGCAACTACTATGATTATACCCGGGAGTAAAATATACTTTAGTATGTGTCGATTTCTTTTGGGAGAGGTTGTTTGGCATGGAGAAAATCCTAAACGGACAACACCACATAGCCCTGAGTTCCCTGCCAAGGATTGCAACGTGATGTTTGAGAAGACACCTCCTTCTGGTATCTGACCTTCAAGCTTATTAAAAGACAGATTTAGGTTAGCAAGGCTGGTAAAATTGGCCAGGTATTTTGGGATGGTACCAGAAATGTTGTTATGGGATATATCCAAAATTTGCAAGCCAGATAGGTTACTGAAAGAGTCTGGAATGGAATCATGGAATTCATTGACAGATAAGTTCAGGTATCCTAACATCTGAAGATGTCCAATTGAATCAGGGAGGCTACCGACAAAGCGGTTCATATAGATATCCATGTAGTTAATTTGTTTTATATTGCCTATATCAACTGGCAATTCACCACTGAAGAAATTTTGAGATAGATCTAGCAGGATGAGCCTATCAAGATGAAATAAGCTCGGTGGTACTGTTGATGATAATTGGTTATGACCTAATGCTAGGTGCTCTAACTTGGTCAAATTACTGGGGTCCAATTGTAAGCCAGAGAACTTGTTGGTTCCAATGTATATTAATTCAATATTATTTAGCATGCCAGTGTTTAATGGGATGGAGCCAGACAAGTTATTTGTCTCCAAGTTAAGGAATACAAGATTCCTCATCATCATGATTGATTCTGGAATTTTACCATGCAGTTGGTTTCCCCCGAGATCTAGCACCTGAATCCCAGTTAAATTCGAAATCATAGCTGGAAGTTCACCGGTAAAGCTGTTCTCAAATGCAGAGAATACTCGCAACAGACTTGACAGATTCCCTACACTGCCTGGGAGGCTCCCGGTGAAATGATTCGAGTAGATGTAAAGGGTAGACAGATTTATACAGTTGGAAAGTATGGATAGAAAGTAACCGATATCTCCCTGTAGGTTGTTTTGTGCAATACTGAGTTGCTTCAACGAGTTCATGTTACCAATTGTTGCCGGTACTGAGCCATCCAACTGGTTCTCTGCCAATGAAAGGATTGTCAATGCTGATAGGTTACCAAGACAAGCAGGAATGGGACCTGTTAGTTGATTGGTTGTAAGATCCAGCACTGAAAGTTGGCCTAGTTGTCCAATACCCACAGGGATGGCCCCTATTAGGTTGCACATTTCAAGGCCTAGTCTGGTTAGCATGGTGAGGTTGCTAAGTGCAGCAGGGATTGGGCCAGCATCAAGGTGATTCCTACTCAAAGAAACATCACTGAGATTCGTCGACTTGGCCAGCCACGAAGGGAAAACACCCTCAAATAGATTGTCACCGACGCGAAGAACTTGGAGGTACGGACACGCTGCGAGTCCTGGTGGAATTTGACCGGTGAATCTATTATGGGAGATTGAGAACCACTGCAGAACCGGGAGGCTGAAACTTGTGTTGCCCGGGATGGAGCCGGTCAAGCTATTAAAGCCAAGATCAACAACAGTTAACCTAGACATGTTGAAGATGGCTTGTGGCACTGGCCCAGTGAGATTATTGTACTGCAGCTCAAGCAACTCGAGCATTGGCAAAGAGCCGATGCAACCTGGTATAGGTCCTGACAGGCTGTTGTTGCCAATACTGAGATAAGCTAACAAAGGCGTGTTGTTGAATAGACTGTCCGGTATCGAGCCAGTAAGGTAATTCCCAATGAGATCAATGCTGCGAAGGCGGCGCAAGGCCTGTAGTTCTATTGGGATTGGACCGGATAGCTGGTTCGACGGGAGGTGGAGTAGTTGAAGCCTCATGAGGTTCCCTATGGTGGCTGGGATGCCACCTGAAAGGGCATTGTGGCCAAGATCAATGAGCTTGAGGCGATGTAGCCTTCCTATATCATCCGGCACCGAGCCCGTGAGGCCGGTATCGGTGAGGTTGAGGACGGAGAGGAAAGAAATGTTACCGAGGTGAGGCCCGAGCTCTCCTTGGAGAGGAATGCCCGGCAGCTCCAGGGCGGTGACGCGCTGCCGGTGGCGGCTGCACGAGACACCCACCCACTGGCAGAACGGTGTGCCAGCGGTCCAGTTGCCGGCAAGGATGTTGTCAGGATCGGAGAAGTGCACTTTCAAAGCCAGAAGCGCAGCGAGGTCGGTGTCGCTGCCATTGCTCTTGCTCAGACCTAGAGAAGAAGCAGAAGCCACAATGGACAGAGCAATCAACAGCGCAACGGAGATCCATACCGGCAATCCAATCGCCATGTCTGGGTGTGTGTGATGCATTGACAAGGAGTGAAGTAACTTCACTGGACGAACAAGTTGTGGTTTTATTTAGCAACTCGGTGCTTTCAACGTCTAGGACGAAGACCTTGACTGTTGCTCTCAGAAAGTGCAAGAAACTGTAACACTTTTGATAATTAGGAATGCTAGTACCACAGACTTGCTGGAAAATAATGTCATCACAGACTATATATTCAACCGATCACAGCGTGCACGACAAGCTAGATATGAGAGCTGTCTCTCTCTCAGCCATCAGCCATACACTCACTGAAAAATAATTTTCTGTCAAACAACTTGAAGGCAACCTTAGTCTTTGTCGATTGGGTGGTTAGTGGCGGGCCTTATCAGGAAAAATGTCTAGTACAAATTTAGAAACTACTGTTGGGTACATAATAGATGTCTGAGATTTGTCCACGTCACCCTGACTATTTTTTTTTACTCCAAATTTGTTACTCCTAGACTTATCTATGCGTAATCTTTTTACTTCAAAAATGTGAACAAATCTCAAACGTCTATTTGAATATCCAACGATAGTTTTTACGTTTGTCCTACATATATATATAGAGTTTACACTACATATTTTTCCGTCTTGTTAGCCTTAACAAGACAGGATACACGGCCTGTTCAGTTATGTAGTTATCATACAGCTGTCAGGTCCGTTTTGCGTGACAGCGTGAAGATGTGCACCCTGAAGGTCTGTGATGCTGTTGTCTTTTGGACCATTTGAATGTTTTTGTTTACCTGGAAAGTTTGTGTAAGTTTCTCTGATGATGCTGTGCCGACTTATTATCAGCTGGAATGATAATTTAATTTGTCTTAGTAGTTCTGATGCTCTGCTTATACTCTTAGGAATGTTTTGTTTGTGTAAAGACTTCGTTCATGCTCCTTGGCTTTCTCCAAAACCCGGGTCAATAATAAGAAAAAAGTGCTCTTTCACCTCCCCCCTGCACGCACATATAATCATGCATCCAAACCAATTTCATGTAGGTGTCGGTATCAGTTTACTAAATCGATCAGACGATGGTAGCTTAGCTTATGTTCATTCACCAGTGTGCCTTCATCGGCAGCAGATGAACACAACCTTAGCTCGGCTGTCTTTTAATTTGATTGACATACTGTGCCCATAGTCAGGAAACTGGGTCGAATTCAGCGTTCCTTAACCCGGGACTGCCATCCCCCGTCTTAGACACACAGGTCATTTTCATTTCCCCACCTTATAAAAACATCTTACAAGTAGCGTATCACGGTTTCTCGACTCTGTCGATCCGGGAACTTTGTGAGTGCCTAATCTAGTATGCTCTGCAAATCGTAGCCGATCACGTACGTTCTCTCCATCCACCTGCACCCACTTGCACTTATCTACGCACCACAATCTCACTGCAACATCAATGGTATCACTACTACAGAGAATCTAAAAGGGGTTGGTTGAAAATCTCATATAGGTATCGAATTTCCCAACAAGCATCTCGCAGACGGTACCAATGAGAAAGAATCAAAGGTATATTGGTTTTGGAACCGGCACTTATAATACCTACAACGAGAAAAGAAAAATGAGTCAACTCGATGAATCGAGCTAATGAATTGACCCCATCATCACTCCAAATATTGCAGTTGAGATCCACATTAAAGGCATAAAAATCGAGAAGCCATGGAAGAAAAAATCAAGAACATTCATTACATTTCGCTCAAAAATAAATCAAGAATATTCATCACATTGCACACAACAATTCATGTTTGGATCCAACATGAACCCATATGCCCCAAATCACGAACTCCTGCATATTTCCCTTCTCAAAAATCAAGAAACCCCAACGCAAAAACAGAAAAGTGGGCACCGGCGTCATCACTGGTGAATCCCCGCAGCAGGGGAATTCGCAGTTGAAGTAGTCCTTCTGTGGATCCATCATGCCATCCTCTCTCGCCGCCGTGGTGATCCCGAGCTTGAGGGCTGTCGGAGCTGGCCCCCACAGCCCCGTGTCTCCTCCTCGACCTCACGGGAGAGATGGAAGGATGAGCCGGACCTCCTCGTCGCCACCGTGTCAACCTCCCACCGACCGGATCTGGTGGCCAGGGCGGGACGACGTAGGGGAGAGGGAGAGGGGCCGACACCGCTGCGTATGGGAGAGGCGTGGTTCGGGAGAGGAGAAGATGAGGCACGCGAGGTGATAAGAGCGTGATTTTTTTTCTCATGCTCCACGCCCATCGGCTCAATTCAATCAGTATTGGTTTTTTTAAAACACCAGCACTTGTACGTACTCAAAGGTGCTAGTTTTCAATAGGAATCAACACCTTTCTCTGACAGGAGTCATAGGTGCCAGTTCGTATTAAGAACCGATACCTATCTCTTTATAAAGGTGTCAGTTCTACCGGATGGCGCCCTATGGGCATGTGCCTCGGACGGGGGTTTGTAGGTGCCGGTTTTAGTATTTCCGATACCTACAGCATCGTCACTGTTGTATATTTCTGTAGTAACGTGTAGGGATGATCGATTAGTCGATGCACACAATATATCGTCAGATAATTTAGGAAGGGATCAGGAATAACTTAAGCTAGTTAACCTCGTGTAACACCTTGAAAATTTCGGTTTTAAAATACGAAACTAAAAATTCGGAATAACCAAAAATCTTTTCTAACTTCCTTGCATGCTGGAATTTATTGGATGTTATTTCCTGTTTTCCTGTTATGCATGGACTAAAGAACGAACGTCTGAGAATATGTTTGTATTTTGATTTTAAAATATTATTTATTCAAAGAAACATGATTATGAAATATGTTAATATTTGCAAATACCAATTGTCTTCCTAAAAACCCTTCTCTATATAATAGAACCCCTCTGACATATTTGCTCTATAAATAAAGTTATATATTACTATTTGGATGGACACCCTCTATGGGATAGTACATTAAAACAAATACTATTTCACAAAGGAAATATAGCTCTGACTATTTTCTAAGAATTCTTAAAAGGGAATAAGCCCTTTGGAAAATGACTTGCAAATGATATCTACTAGTAAAGTATTTGTTAAAATCCTATTTGTCAAATATAATTCCTAAAAGGCTATTTTTAAAGAAAAGGCTTTCTCAGATAAAGTCTGGTTTCTCTCTTTGAGAGGCCTAGCCCAGCCCACATAATGGAATTTTTAATTGTTGTGTGTGTTTAGATTTTTGAGCCAAAGATCTCGACTAAACCTTATCTCCTAAAAGGATGCCCTCCGTTCAACGTCCTTTCCTTTCATTATCCTCCCGGTCTGATTTATTAAGTGCTTCGGTACTAAACAAATCAAAGACCCGAAACTCTCTCCTCTTATCGCAATATTATCACTCTCTCAAACTCTTATCCTACGGTTAAATTAAAACCGCTCTATTGATTTGAATTCGATAATTCCCTCGAAAAATCTACAATCGTTCGACAGATTTATTTGTCGTGCGTCGATTCGAATATCTCCAATTCTATCCCTATTTTTGAACCCTACCGCGTCGATTGGATTTGTATGCCATGCGTCGTCCCTAAAACCCCTTTGTGTTACCGTCGTTCGTTCGTGCAAGCGCTCACAAAGAAATCGCGGTGTATTCAGCCAAGCAAGATGCAGGAAAAGCTCTATGCTTGACCCTTGCTCATCCAAATGCCAATTTAAATTCAAAAGCTCACAGTTCCAGTCCACATATACAATCCATGTGCATACTCGAATTCAAATGTCCAAGTTACACAGTCCCATTACAATTATACAGTCCCGTTACAAATACACTGTCCATTTACAAATCCCAGAAAAATACTATTACAGTGGACCACCTTTTCCAGCCCAAGCCCACTGCCAGCCCACTCCCTCTCTCCTTCTCAGCCAACTCATCATAAGTCTGTTTTGCCTCCCTGCATCAACACAGCCGAATCAGCCAGCATGCATGCACAAAACATGCTCGAGGGAATGCCTACAAGCCACAGCATTGATTTGCACCAAATTTTGCCAGCCAACAAATGCCTGGGTCCCCTCCCCCAACAACATCCCATACACCCATGCTCCCAATCCACAGAACCATCCCCCAAAACACAGGAAATACAGTGAGATGAGTCCACACCGAAAAACAACGCCAAGTCCAGGAAACAAAGCTCACCTTGGCTCCTACCTACACTCCAACCGCCGAGAACGTATATAAGCCGCCGCCAAAAACCATCACCCCCTGCACCTCCTCATTTTTCCTCTCCTCTCCCTACTCTGCATTTTTGTTCTGCCACTGCCTCTCCTCTGTCCAGCGCATTGGCTGCCGCCACTACTACAGAATCGGTTTTTGCATACGGGCGAACACGATCTTCGCATGCGGTCGGCCGGCCCGCATGCGCGAAATGGTCTGCAAAGATCGCCATTAGCGCATGCGGCCGGTCTAGCCGCATGCAAAGATCGATCTTCGCATGCGTCTCTTAAGACGGCCGCTTGCAAAAATACATCTTCGCACGCGGTCCATTTAAGCAGCCGTATGCGAAGATCTATTTCTCCATGCGGTCGACTTAACTAGACCGCATGCGAAGATCTATTTTCGCATGCGGCCATCTTAAGTAGACCGCATGCGAAATTCAATTTCCGGATAGCTTAAATAATATTTATTTTAGCCTTTTGGTGAGATGTGTCTCGTAATTAATATTAAATTATTGAGGGATTTATTATCGTATTTCGGAATAGTAAGCATATGACATAAGACAAGTGCCACAGTAACAAACATGTAATACATAACCATAAATTCAATCGTAATTTACATACGAAATATATAATACAAGTGCCACAGTTTTTTCATCATATGTATAAGTAGTGTACATGTCATTGCATATGTTCTTTCTCCCACTCTCTGAGAGGTTTAAATTTGTCGTCCATTGTGAGTTCACTCTGGTTGTCGTAGAAGAGACCTCTTGCGTTGCAGACATCACGACGGATGAATCGGCAGAGGTTAGCGGCCACGTTCAAGATAGTACTGTCGTTGAATCATTGTACAATATATGGGATTTCAGGGATCTGCGCACAGAAAGGAAAATAAAATGGTACTCAGTGAGAAGTGTGTGCTAGATGGGTTTCTTTGTAGAGAAGAGTTCGCTGACTTACTCGGTTACTGGTTGTTTTGTACCTCCCGTTTACTCTGAGCATCTCGCACACGTAATAACCGCACAAGTTGGTTCCCGGTGGTTGTTTGTAGCACTGCGATATAATTGTGAGGGACCGATCTCACTAGATATAATTTAGTATATATGTATTGTTCTATAATTAGTTGTATCGGTATAGATTTGATAGTACCAGCCAGCCAGTCCTGGCAGATAACTGCTTCTAGGATGGAATATGTACTGGTCTGCCTCTTTTGCGGTAGTACTTGTGTGCTCTGTTTGAAGAAAACAATTGTTTTTTCAGTAGTTAGAAGACTAGGGATCGACCTAAACAATTTATATTAATGAAATGTTTATCACTTACAAATTCAAAATAGTGAGGAATTCCATAAATGTCT